TTAGTTGGGCTTTAACTCAAGCCATGTAGATTAGGTTTGGGTCCATTGGGCTTGTATTGTGTTTTTGGGCCTTGTATTTTGGCCAATTAGATTAGGAATTTCATTTCATTGCCATTTGAATTTAGGGTTAATTAGGTTGTCATGTGCATCTCAATTTACATGTAATTAGCATTACATTTAGAGAACATTTCGGCCATGTGCACTCATGCACATGGGGTGACTGAAAATACTCCTAAATGCATGCTAAATCACATGCAAATTAGGTGGCACATGGGGTGACCGGTCTTGGCACCAAAATTTGAATTCAAACATTCAAATTTTGGCACCTAAGGTTAGTTAAACCATACCATGGTTTAACTTAACCTTGGGTTAAGCCTAGCTTGTCACACACTCTTCCTACCCCTATAAATTCACTATGGTCGGAACTTGTACTCACTTTGGCATTTATGAGATTTCACTCATTGAGAATTCTCTCACCGAAGTCATCCAAGGAGAAACCCTTCTCCCTTTCTACTTGAACCTTTCTCTTTGTAGAGCTAGGCTTGCCTTCCTTCTATCCGAGATTTGTAGCTCAATCTAGGCTACACTTGCTTCTCCATTCTTGCCTCAATTCCTTGCGTCAATCATCAAGGATCCGTGGAGAAGTGTGTTCAAGGATTCATGGAGTTTTCCTCTTGAAGCCTCCATCAGTTTGGTTACACATTTGAAATTTGTAATCTTAGTTAGTTGACCTTGAACACAATGCCTATATGTTTGACATTTTTTTTCTTTTATGCTCAATGTAAATTACAAGCAAACTTCAGTTAAAACAAAAGTTGTAAGAGTGTTGTTTTTATTTAAAGTTGGCTTGAAAAGTTAAGTTCAACTCAACATAACTTTCTAAGTATAATCCAAACACACACATGGTAGTCACCTCTGACTCATCTTAGTTGCAATGCAAAAAAGGGCGTCATAGTGAGTCTAAAGTAATATGTTGACCATATAATCCTTCAAAGTGTGCGAGTTAGTTTTAGTTTGGTTGTGATATTTAACCCTTCAACTCATACAATCAATTCTACTAACCATTCCACCACCCAACAAATTAAATGACGCATTTAGTTGAATTAATCTTTTAAGTTGACCCATTGGGTTACCTATATTTTTCCTTGAATTTGACCTATTAACCTATATTTGGGTGCTTATTAATACTTCTTTTAAGGGAATGTACTTATTAAGACTTATTTATAATTGTATTGTGTACTTATTTTATTGTTACTCATGAATTTATTTATGATTGTATTATAAACTTTTTTAATGTCATGTCTCTTGATGATGTGGGACTAAACCATTATCATTGATGTTACAATTAAAACAACTTCCAGAAAATGTTATAATTGAGATGCGCCAATAATAACTACTATTAAGACATAAAATGTATAGTGTTTTTTATGATGTAAGCAAATGTTAAAAAAGTAAGGAATAATGTGTAGTGAATAAGAAAATTTTGAGTATGAAAAAAAAAACTTTAAATTATATAGACAAAAATCATATTTAAACTTAACTTTATTTTTAATTCAATCAACCTATTATATATATATATATATATATTCTATTACATTAGTATATTTAATTATAACACTTATACAATAATTATATATTATAATTTTATTTCAACCAATCAATTAAATTATATAATTCAATGTATTTTTAAAATAATATTTTTATACAATACTTTTATAAATCTATCGTAAATTTATATACTCTGATTCTAATTTTATTTGAATAAAAAAAATGAGAAATTATGTCAGCGTAGTCGACTTAATTTTTTTTAATGTTGATTGTTAGACACATAACGTAGACTAGTTTTGAGTCATTTTATAAACATACACATACAGCCTAAATTGAAATTTAATAAAAGGTAAAGGATGAATCTAATAAACTAAAGGTGCATTTTATGACTAAATTGAAATTTCATAAAAGGTAAAGGACGAATTAAAAAGCTAAAGGTATAGATTATAAACTATAATCTCACTGTATGTTAAGTATTATCAATCTAGGACTGATTCATATAGCTTGCTACATCAGGTCCAATGTATTACAACCAATATGAGAACTCAGTTTCTTTTCTTCATCTCTCATTTTTAATGCAATTTTTTAATTTTTAGCTTTCTAGGATTAACATAAAACTTTTTTATTCTAAAATAATTTAAAAGATAGAGAAATAAAATTAATATAGTTTATTAAAATATTTTTTCCTTTTTAACATTTCTAAATGTAATTACATGTCATTATTATTTTATTATTTTATTTTTTATTGAAAGTAAAATTATATAATTTTGGAGTGTGCATGACTTTGTGTGAATTTTTATTTCAATTTTTATCTTGTAAATTGCGACGGTTAGGAGGAACCGTCGCAATGTTGGAAAATTTTGCAAAGGTTTCTCCCAACCATCGCAATGTTTGAAAATTTTGTGACGGTTTTGAGAGAAACCGTCGCAATGTTGAAAAATTTTGCGACGGTTAGGAGAAACTGTCGCAATGTTGGAAAATTTTGCGACGGTTTTGGGAGAAACAGTCGCAATTTTGAAAATTTTGCGACAGTTGGTCGAAACTTTCGTATGAAGGGTCGCAATATCAAAGCGACGACGGTTTCAGGATAACCGTCGCAATTTTTCCATCGCAATTCATCATTTTCCTTGTAGTGCTTCTTATAAATTTTGAACTATCTCTAGTTGAAAATTGTTTTAGCAATTCAGATTCAATTTTTTCAACTAGTGTGGCTGGAAAATTTTGCTGGAAAAAGGGAGTGAGATCTTCTTTGAATCAAAAGAAAAATTGAAAAGAAAGATTAAAAAAAACAAAAAGTAGAAAAAGCCAAGAAGAATCGATGAACATTCAATTTTGCCACTACATTGAATCCGGTTTGCTATTTTGATTGGTTCTTTGCTTAATCTCCTTTTTCCTTTTAATTTTTGTTTTCTTAATCTACTCTAGTGCCAATCTAAGACTTCCCTATTGTGTGCTAGCTTTCATTTGGAGTCTTAATTTCTTGCTTTGTGTCTTTGTTAGCTTTCTTGATAGTTTTGTCACTACTATATATTCCTTGTTGGTATAAGCTTTCTAACTTCTTATTTTTGTGCTTGTCAAGTTTTCATTTCAAAATATCCAGTTCTGGAAGTTGTGCTAAACTCTTGCAAGGAGTCTCAACATTGTTCACAAAGGCTAGAAGGAAAAGGATTGCTAATACTAAGCCAAAGGACTTGAAAATTAAATTTGACCAAACCATGTCCTAACTTTCTCAAATTTTTCCTTCATAAGAGTGATCACACCTTTCCATCATTGCGAGCAGCCAATTTTTTGTAATTTGTTTGTTCAATTGTGTGGGTCAAGAAAATTCAAAAGGAAATCCAGATTAGAGACGGATTTAGAGACCAATTCTAGTTGCTGGAAAATCTATCACAAGCAAATCCGTCTCTAATTCTGTTGCAATTTCCGTCTCTAAAAATCTGTTTAAGACTAGTTTATTTTTCTTGCAATTTTCTTTGCTTTAAAACAATTGTAATAGCTTGGAGGGAGTATTAAGAAGCTGGTCGGGTATACCTAAAAATCCCTATAGATCATTCATGTGTAGATCTAGTGGAAGTGGCTTGAAAATTTCATATGATTTCAAGCTTCCACTTAGGAAACCGACTAGCTTGTTAGTCTTTAATCTTTGCTATTTTTTAATTGTTTTGATTGCTGTAAATTCGACTAGTTTGTGTAGCTTATACTTGCCACATTTAGATAGAGTTCAAGAAAATTTTTGAAAATCATAAAGCATCAAATTTTTTGTGAAAAATTTTGTGGAATTGAAGCTACCATAAGGGCGTTTAGTAATTTTCACTTGAAAAGGCTTGGTTATTAAGTGGCTCTTAGTAGCTCACCTCCCTTGATAGTGCAATTTGTATACTTAGACCTCCAAGTGTTAGTTTTGTTCTTAGAAAATTCCAAAAACATTTTCTTTTTGCATTGCATATAAAAATATTCTTGAAACTTAACCATGAGTAGGCATTCTCAAAGTGGTAGTGATTCGGGCTCTATAAAAATCTTTTCTCATTTAGTCAAAGAGCTAAAATCACTAAAACTTTGGAGAATGCAAGAGGTACTTGCTGATGGACTCCTTCCACCTAGGGGTGATCAATGACGTTCAAGGTGAGGGGGAGTTCCTTGCCAAGGCCAAGATGATGACCTTAATGGTGGATGTTCCTTCAAGGGTGGAGAAACAAGGAAGGTAGGCGTGAAGGGTGGAGGTTGGACGAATGGTGAGAATGAAGGGAGGATGGTGTTTTGGACAGTTCTAGGTTGGCTCACTTCACTAAGTGGTAGGGTTCTCTTAGTGTAGCTTCTCTCTAGTAGCTTATCACTATATTTGAAACTTTACGTCAAATTTTGTAAATAAATTTTATTCAATATTAATATTAATATTAGAAACTATAAAAGTATTACAAAACATACCAATTTTGATTATATTTGTAAAAAAATATTGTGAGTAATTACATTAATTAATAATTATTAATAGTTTTAAAATAAACTTAAATTAAAAAAAATTAACTTAAAAAATCACTTGTTATTAAAATTTATTTTCAATTTTTACTAATGTACATCTGTTAAATTTAGATATTAATTATACCATCTAATTGAGCTATTAAAAGTCAATTATCATTTTTAATGTTGAATTTTATTTCCCTTTTGAATCTTTATTTTAACCTATTATTTATTTTTAAAAAATGTTAAAAAGTACAGCCACCCAAAACTCGAGTCGAGAAAAAACAAAGAAAGTCCCAATCCGCACTTGCCGTATCAAACGATATCGGACCGTTAAAATTTATTTATCGACGTCCCTTAATGCCCCACTTATCAACCCACGGATCCCGATCCTGAACCGTCGATTAATCCAAAATCCAACGGCAGAGATGAAAATTGAAAACACCGAACCTCCTCTTCCCGGTCCAATAAATACCCCCAATCTCCCTCTCAAATTTCATTCCAATTGCAACCAAAACCCCAAAACCTCAAATTCGAGTTTTCAGCAAGTTATCCTCTGAAGATGTCTGGTCGTGGAAAAGGTGGAAAGGGTTTGGGCAAGGGAGGCGCCAAGAGGCACAGAAAGGTTCTCCGCGATAACATTCAGGGCATCACCAAGCCTGCAATTCGTAGATTGGCGAGAAGGGGTGGTGTTAAGAGAATCAGTGGCTTGATCTACGAAGAGACCAGAGGGGTTCTAAAGATTTTCTTGGAGAACGTGATTCGTGATGCTGTCACCTACACCGAGCACGCTAGGAGGAAGACTGTTACTGCCATGGATGTCGTTTATGCGCTCAAGAGGCAGGGAAGGACCCTCTATGGATTTGGGGGCTGAACAATTTCTTTGGTCTGATCAACTACTTTTTTTCTTGAATTCCCTAATGTTTAGTTTATGATTGTTGTGTAACATATGAATGCCTTTTGGGTTGTCTTTTGCACACAAAATGTACAACTTTGATTGAAATCGAATGAAGGAGTATTGCTTTTTGCTGCATGTGATGGACTAAGTATGTGTTCTTATGCATTGTTTTATTTTTGTGCTGTGAGTTTGTTATGCACTAAAGTGTATAACTCAGTGAACAAAAACATTTGTTTCGTTAAACTTTTGTTCTAGGTTTTGGTACTTTAAGAAGAAAGATTTGTTTAATAATTAGAAGTTAATTCTCTGATGGGTTTGGGTTTGGTTTCTTGTGTATTAAAATCTTCTTTGGTGTTGAGGAATCTAAGGAAAAGTTTCTGGCGTTATTTTGTGGATAATTGTCGGTGGTTTTTGATTTTGGAAAGGCTTGTGGGCCTGCCTGCTTTGTAATCATAATAACTTCGTAACAGGAATTTATTTTGCCTGTTAATTTTTGTTATTTTGACTCATTAAATTAGTAGTTTAACATAAATAATGTGTTTCATTTTCAAGTGGCGATATTTTCCCGGCAATTTGTAATATTTTCTCCTTCTAGGTTTGTAGCCTCGTTTTATCATAAAAAAAAAAACAAAAGTGACAAGGAGATGTGTGATAATTCTCATTTGCATTCTTAACAGTCAGATTGATACTTTTCATGACAATGAAATACTGAGAAAATAAAAGGAAAGAAACTTTATTATGTTGGCAAGTAATATAATAATAATTACTTTTTTAATTGTATGTTCAATCGGAAGGATAAGATGTTTTTAAATATAAAGGAATAATTTTCTTTTAAAGGAAAATAGAAACACACTTGATAACGTGAATTTTCACTATATATGAAGTACTCCTAGAAATTACCTACAAATAAGTATAAGCATCTGCTGAGAGTGAAACTAATTACTTTATATACAAATTGTGGAAATGAGAATGGTGAGAAGAAAATGTTGATCTTTAATCTAACATTCGTCTTATATGCAAATAGTTATATATTAAAGATATGCAAGATTATGGTAAATTAAAGTGATTTAATGATATTTAAATTATTTTAGCAGTTATATATTTGAAAGGATATAAGACTTTTAAATTTTAATGTATAGTAACAAAAAGATAATTTTATTTTGTAATAGATAAAAATAGAAATATTAAAAAATAATCTTATGACTATTTATAAATAGGTTAGATTTTCTAATTATTATACGAAACAGATATAATTAAAGAGGCAGACATAATTAAAGTATCAAGACATACAGATTGATCTAGAAAAATAAATCATCATTTTTTTTGTTATCATGGGTTTCAGGTATATTATTTATTATTTCTACTGATCTACATAATATATTTAAAATTTTATATAGATAATAGTTTTTATTAAAGACTTAAGTTTGATTTTACCTTGTTTATAGATGTTGAGATCTTGAAAATTTAGTATTTATAGAAAATTTGTTTGTTAAGACATGAAGCATATAGTTATCAACCCCTCTTGATAGAATAGTTGTAAAGGACTTAAGTAAAAATTTGTTCTACATACAGTGAGAAAGGCCAACGGTGTTTATACTTGAGTATTCAAATATGAAGGATGAGTTAACTTTATGAATTTAACTCTTCTTCCGAGGCTTCTTTCCTCATTGACCCTAGAGAAGTTTGTTATTACATAATAGAACTTGAAACTCATAAGAGCATTTCTAGTGGGGGTTGCTTATAAGCAACTTCCTATGCCACATCATTGCCACATCAGCTTTGATCCACTTTATGAATTGCTTAAATTTTAGCAAAGTTGCTTGATGTAGCAATGATGTGGCACAGGAATTGCTTATAAGCAACCTCCAGTAGAGATGCTCTAACTCTAATTAAATTCTCAACCTTCCCCATCATCTAAGTTTTTGTGAGGTGATCGGTTTGAAAAACCTTTGAAACAAAGGGAAGACTTTGAGTAAGTCAACAGGCACTTAGTGTAGCTTTAGTTATAGGCGCAAGTTATTTATTGTTTATATGATCGTCCTATATTATTTTAGAGTTAGAAGCCATGCATTGTCATGTTTTACAAAATTCTCATCAGACAAAATTCTCTTTAATTAAACAAGTGATGTTATTTTCTATTTCTCTTCTTTATTTTTGTGTTATTTCTCGCGTAACAAATATAGTGTAAATGAAGATAATAAAAGAAAAAATATTGAAATACAGTAAAAGTACTATTTTTTTTTTTACAGTTTATTTGAGAAGATAAATGGGAAAGCTGGAAGTATTTTTTTCTCCTTTTGAATGAAATTTATTTCCTCTCTTCTCACTTTTTCTTCTCTTAAACCCAACTAAATTTGAGTCATTTATTTCTCTCAATTTCTTTCCTTTTATAAAAAATATAATCAAAATTTTCTTTTGAAAATATTAAATGATTAAAATGCCAAAGTTTGAAATTGTGAATGAAAATATCCAACCTCAGGCTTAGTTGGACTTGGGTGTTGGAAGTGAATTTATTCTAGAGATTATTTTAATACTCAATTATAGATATAATTCATTAACATACAAAATTAATTAAATGAATTAAATTTTATGCCGGTCCACTTCATTCCGGCCCAAGGCAGAGTTATCGGGAGAGGCGGTTTGTTCCTTGCTGAGCCGACGCAGCAACTTGCCCTTCCGTTCTCCGGCGACTGGCAACCTTCTTTGACACCGTATTTTGAGGTAATTTTTTCATTAGTCTGAACTGAAGCTTTTATTCAACTTCACCTTCGCCATTGAAGAACCCTTCATACTTGGTGTGATGCGATCGCTACTTTCTTTCTGTTAAACCTCAACTTTCTACAACTTTAATTGACCTTGCTTGTTGAGTGTTTGATAAAATGACCCAAAGGGAAAGGTTAACAGTTGACACGACTTTGGTTTAAATGCAATTATATTCGGTTGAGAGATAGTATATTGGTCACTTCTATTCCTAGTTAAAGAATAGTTAGTGTAGATAAAGCTGTTTAATTGGAACCATGGTTACACGTACTGAGACTAATTTCTCGTTTATAGATAGCTGCCGCACCCTGAAAATGCTGCAATATTACCTCATATAGCTAAAGTTTCTGCTGCTGCTGCTGCTGCATTAGCTTTGTGGTAATGAAGCTAGTATTTTTTCAATTTTGATTCTTAAAGTGCATAGCATTGTATAACAAACTTGTCTTGTATATTGTGTGACTAATTTTTTTTTATAGTTTATTACAAAATGTAAAATTATCATACGCAAAGTTCTATCTAAAGAAAATCAAACAAGTAGTTTTCATAACTTGCACTATCAGCAGCGTCTAGAGAGATTTTGTTCCTTGCATATACTTGATTCCATTCAACTAGACAATTGGGGGTTAACTTTATAGTTTTCTGTACTTAGGACGATTCTTTCTTTTATTCTATTTGATTTCCATTTTACATCAACCACTATTAAGTTTATAATTGCCATTTCTCATGTGCATTCTAACTGTTGGAGGAAATTCCACTATATCTCAGGGTCTTATTTATTTGCTTGCATTATAATCACAGGCACACTGATGCAGAGTGAGTCTGTCATATGCTAACTGTTATATAAGGAAAGAATGGAGCTAAATCTAAAGATATGCTCCTAACTACAAAATGTACTGTAAATTTCCTAATAATAGGTTATCTACATAAATAAAAATCAAACTTGATATAAATAGGAACCAAGTAAACTAAATCAAATCTGTATCATATCTCCTATCATATCTATGTAATTTATGTGATATCTCAAGATTCTCAACACAACTGTGAGCCAACATGACTGTTTCAGCTTTCTAGTCAGGCCTTTAGAATTATGAAGTCTACTTTGACTGTTATTTCACTGCAACTGAAACGAGTGAGTAGCCATTGCTCTTTTTTTTCCACCTAATTTCCAGGTGATAGACTCCTTAGCTTCTTCAACTAGTCAAACTTGCTCTGTTTCAAAGTAGCCAAATTAAGGTTGAGGGGGGGGGGGGGCGGGT